TATGACATATTTAATTTAAGTAAACAAAGCACATACTTAATGTGTTCAAACAGAGACATGTTAATCAGAGCAGATTGCTGAAACAGAGCAAGACGTGTCATGATCATTACAGTACTTATTGTTTTGTGCTACTGACATGCGACGTACTGTATATACATATATGTAGAAAATAAACATTTGTTGTAAATTTTTCTAAATAATTATAATCTAGCTACTCCCGCGCACTTTCACCCGCTTTGTTTGGCTCCTAATGATCGTAGCGTGATGTTTTAAAGCATATAGCTTTCCTCGATAAATAGACTATCCAAAACAAAAATCAATATTTAATTTTAACCAATAGTTTTGGAGATTAGCGCGTTCGAACAAACAAATTCTTTAGCTTTAAGTATACAATACTTATAGTAGGTATAGTAGAAGACGTGAATGTTTATGAGGATGCAGGGTGCCCTCCAGCTAGGTGGAGTGACAATATATGTAAAGTGGCTGGTAGTGGTTGGATGCGTAGAGCTAGAGATCGAGCTCAGTGGTGAGTCATTGGAGAGGCTAATGTCCAGCAGTGGACGAAAACAGGCTGTTGATGATTATAGTGCAACTAGCGGACCCAACAGACGTTGTACTGCATATCCACTTGAATGTATAAACAAAAATTAATTCAAATTAGTTCAGCCGTTTAGGGATGACTAACCTAGACACCGACTGCAGCGCCATCTGCCTGATTTGTGAATCTAAACCATTCCCAGATCCCCTTGAACACACACAAAAAATTTCATCAAATTCGGTCCAGTCGTTTGATAGAAGTTCAGTGACATACACACTCACAGAAGAATCTTCTTATATATAAAAATGAATCGCTGTTCGTTAGTCTCGCTAAAACTCGAGAACGGCTGAAACGATTTGGCTAATTTTGGTCTTGAAATGTTCATGGAAGTCCAGGGAAGGTTTGAAAGGTGAAAAAAAAATTTAGGCGGTACGAAGTTTGCCAGGTCAGCTAGTTATATATAAAGATAAGACAAAGACGATGATAAAAAGGCGGACACAGTCTCTTGTAACAACGACTGTGGCGCCTGGCTACTGTAGACTTACACGCAGAATACACACACATTGACACGAAGGACATCTGTCGCGTCACATGGGTCGTCGGTACACTACATACATTACGGTGTTGCAAGTACTCGCACACATAAATACACTGACATATTGCTGCTTCAATAATTTCTAAGTGGCATTACGTATGTTCGCCTTTCCTCAACGCCATTGCATTATGATAACAACTTAATACTTTATTAACTAAAAATCGCGGGTTACTCACGTGAATATACTACTAGTAGGATTCGCGACATCGCTGCGACCGCGCACGCTGCTCATGAGGAAGAACCCCTCTGTGGTTCGAAACTAGTAGAGCTTTTCTCAGTATATTCACGTGAGTAACCCGCGATTTTTAGTTAATTTAGTATGTCTCACGATAGATATTATAAAAATACTTTAATATTTTTGTCAAAAACTCACTGAAGAAGAAGGCAACATGATATCTCGCCACCCATACAACTGTGACAACAAATTTTAAGGTTTTCATTCAAGTATTATTTACAAGAAAACTGTTTTACCTTCATTGTACCAAAATGGGCCAGTTGAGGTCACCGACCATATGGTGGGTGGCCTTAAGCTTTGAGTTGACGAGACAATCATTGATATCTCTTGTACAGTATTGTTTGTTCCGGTTGTAGTGTCAAATTGTGATAAAAAATTTGTCCGTAGGTATCATGCAGATTTACCTAACATCTTATATAATAATACACAAGGGTAAATAGAAGGCTTGTTTAGCATAGCAGGATTAAGATAGTTTTGTAACATTACGCCTTTTATCCTCGAAGGGGTAGGCAGAGATGCACATTAACTACGGCACTTAATACCACTGTACACTGTAACACTTTTCACTATTTATGTTATGAGTCCCATGTAATAGGGGGTGAGCCTATTGCCATATACCGGATACAGTTTCAGACTCCTTGCTACAACTAAGATTTTTTTTATGAACTACGGTTTACCTATACAAAAAAAAATGCACAAGATTATATCATAATACTTCAAAAATTTCATACATTGCAAACATTTTAAAATTCATACCTAATTATATTTTATCTGTCTGCAAGTATATTGTCTATGCACTAGCTGTCTCCACACACGGGTCATTCAACTCAAACGGATGTTGACATAGACAAGCGTTATATATCGTATTTGAATTACCAAATACAAACAGTTTCAACCTTTTTTGTCGTAAGTTGATACTGGCGGTTAAAAATAAAATAGATAATTATGGCCAGTCTGTATTAATTGATAAAAGAAATTAGATTAGGTATAAACGACAATGAACACTTTGGCAATGCGTAGAGATGTAGCTTCATTGTGCATTTTCTATCGTTTATACCACGGGGAGTGCTTTGAAGAATTGTTTGACCTGATACCTGCCGCATCTTTTCGCCATCGACCCTCACGACAGCATATGCATCCCCATCATATAGATGGTTGGCAGGCCACAACAGTATGCTTCTCACGTAGCTTCCTGCCTCGCACAGCAAAACTGTGGATTGATCTGTCGTCGGCGGTATTTCCGAACTGATACGACCTTCAAACCTTCAAGAAAAGAGCGTATTCCTTTTTAAAAGGCCGGCAACACCTGTGGCTCCTCTGGTGTTGCGGGTGTCCATGGGCGGCGCTGTTCACTTACCATCAGGTGATCCGTCTGCTCGTTTGCCTCCTATTCCATAAAAAACGACATATATTATGATCTACAACAATTATGAAACCACAAAAAAAATGTATTGATGGGAGATGGAATGAAGTGAATAAAGTTAATTAACATTTTTTTCTTAGTAATGCTTACTAAACACAAACAATTAATGTTTTGACATCATAACAAATAAAAACTCAAAATAAAATTATAATTAAATAAGCACTGACAAGCTTGTGGTTTCACACAAAAAACCATCTTGATTGATATGAGAAGATACCACGGCAGCATATAACATAAGGAGGTATCTAGCCGACATCTGTTGCTATCCGTCATCACTTTATTAAAGTTTAAAGTGCACTAGCAAATTAAATAAATAAGCTTAACTAGTTATGCTTAATTAAAAATCCCCAACTAATATTATGAATGCGAAAGTATGTTCGTTTTTTTGTTCGTTGTCTTTACGCTTCAGTTTTCTTTAAGTTTTGCCTAATCAATTTATAGTTGGTTGGTATAAAATGTCGTGGTGGCCCGGAGGTTTAAGACGCCCGCTTAAACCTTTGTGACTTTTTCCGAGTTATATGTACTTTCTAAGATTATCTAGACACCACTGACAAACGGTGAAGGAAAACATCGTAAGGAAACCTGGGTTTATAATTTCTAATTATAAGTTTGTAATCGCCAACCCGCATTGAGCTTATGTGGTGATTAATGCTCAAACCTTCTCCGTGTGAGAAGAGGCTTTGCTCAGCAGTGGGCATTTATAGGCTGTTGATGATGATGATGATGAAATTATAGTTAGGATACACAAAAAAATTAAATCTTTCGCGAGCATAGCCAATCGAGGAGATTATGTCAATTTATAATAGTAAAAGTCGAGGCTTTTTTTATTTCATTTATTTGGGGTTTTTGGTTAAAATTAACATATCAAACCCATTGTTCCTTATAACTATTAACATATAGTACTTATCCTAGTTGTTTATAAATAATTATGAGGGTCGGTGCTGGGTCTGCGGTACTAGCAAGTAAAACGCTTGTGCTATTTCTGATGCAGGCTCACTTAAAACACTGTATGATACCTACGTTCATCTTTGCAATGCCATACTTTCTCAGCAACGACTCCCGTTCCACCTTATTCCGGACACATTCCATCAGCAAATGTTGCACATCCTCAATCTTTCCACAAGTCGGACAATTCGGTGTGTCAGCTTTTCTCATTAGATGTGCAAACTTTGCCGAAAAAGCCGAGGTTAAAACTAGTACAAAATAAATGAAGTAAAAAAAAAACTAATTTTAAAATCTCAAGTATCCTAGAAGATACTATTTATTAACCCGAGTAGTGTCAATGAACTGCGTATAGTTCGTGTGGAGACGTGCTAACATGTAGCGGGTATGTGAGAAATAATAAGATGATCTCAGATCACAAAAACTATATTACGTGGTATGTGTACATTATATCGAGCTCAATTAGTCACACTTATCATCTAGAAGACAGTTTCTGAATGTTGTATTTGATTTTGTTAACCCCTCAAGCGTCCTTATGAGCATCAGGTGGATCATAAGAAAAAATGCTCCAAATGTCACGTGTGCACCCGTTGGATCATAAGGAACGCGGACGCTTTACGGATTAATCATCACCAGTTCATTTCTGCTCAGTACGCATTGTGAGCTGGTCCCTTCGTATTGCACTGAGCTCCATCTTCAACTCATCGTAGGTAGAATTAGCCACTTTACACATCCTATCGTCACTCCGTCCACCTGGAAGGCACCTTATGCTATGTTTACCTACACTCGATCTCCACTCCAGAACATGTCTCCCCCAGCAGTCATGAGTTCTCCAAAAAATATAACTCCGGCTATGGTCCTCCATGACATGACACGAACTCATTGACAACTTGATGTCTATGTATATTTACCTAATAATTCTAGCTATCGAAGAAAATTAAATTGTCTAAATTATTTAAAATAGTCATAACATAGCATAACATCACGCCTTTATCGGCTTGCAGGCAGGCTCGCTCTTGCAGGCAGAGATTTACATTACGGTAACTTTTCAGTATTTCTGTTATAAGTCCCATGTAATGGGGGTGAGCCTATTTCAGCCAAGCACAATTCCAGACTATGTGCCACTGATTTAAAAAGAAATCCCTTTAATACTTAGCCCTACCTGGGAATCGAACCCGAGATCACTTGACTAGCAGTCATACTTGCGACCACTCGCTAACGAGGCAGTCATATTGATCACCGTCTAATCTATAACCTTTACTTCCAGGCTGAACGTTACCGCGAGAGACGCAGGCTGGCCACGCCGAGCCCGACTCCATCCCCGCCACGACGGCAGGCCGCCCCCACACCACCCGCGGGCAACTGGTTCAAGTCTCTCGATCGTCTTACCAGGAAGAAGAAGAATACTAAGGTAGCTTAAAATAAGGTGTTATAGTCACTATTGTTCAGGTACATTTTTGAGTGTAGGAGAGCCATGCTTCGGCACTAACGGGCCGGCTCGACCGGAGTGATACCACGGCCTCATAAAAATCGACGTGAAGCAACGCTTGTGTTGTGTTTGTGTTGAGTAAGGTTACCGGAGGCCCAATTACCCCCCCTCCCCAATCTCCGAATCTCCGACAATCCTTAAATACCCAATTCCCAAAAGGCCGGTAACGCATTTATAACACTTCTAGTGTTTCAGGTGTCCAGGGGCGGCGCCAAGCTTACCGGCCCCTTCCAAAAAAAGTGAAACGATTAATTTATAGTTAAACACTTTTTGAAGCTCATTTCTAGAAAAGAGATCTTATTGCAGATGCCTTTTCTAACTTAAACTTGGCTACATATGTAATTTCTAAACTACGTCAACTTTCAGATCGAGAAAGAAAGTATAATAACAACAGAAGATGAGGCACCACGGAAAACGTATCCCAAACCCGCCAAACCTTTGACATCACCTGCAAAGAACCTTCGCTTTTTCGGAGACACAGATCCGGATTCAGACGCCAATGTCAAACCTTCAACAGAAACGAAACGATACACTCATACAAAACACGGTACACTGAGAAAAACCATCTCAAATTCCAGTACAGGTCTAGATGAAGTAGATCATGGTGAATTAACAAGTAAAAGTTACTCTCTTTCGAACCTACATAGAGACGAAAAAAGGGAATCACCAAACGGCAAACACTACAAACGAAATCTGCAGAACATATCCGAAATACAGAGTAATTCGGAAACAGAGAGCCAATTTGATAGGAAGGTGAATGCGAAGCCGCCAATCAGTCCGTATGAAAGGTCCAGGAGTCATAGCAGTTCGAAGACTTTGAAGGGATCTAAAGGAGATGTAAGGCGGAGACATGATGATAGAGGCAGCTCGTCGGAATTGAGAGGCAGTAAGCAGGAACTTAGCAGGGATATTAAGTGAGTATGCATTCTGTAATAGTTTCTATTATTTTGTGATTTTTGAGTCAACATCGTTATTCTGAACATGAACGAAGGCAAGAAGAGGGCTTTTGTTAAAATCCTCATGATTGGCTTGAAAAATCTAATATGGCTATAGATTCAGGGCATATCCGTATTCATTTTGATTATATAGTGGAGTAAGCTTACAATATAATGCAATATTATCACAAAATACTACTTTAGATTCCTTAAGCAAGTCAGAAGTAAATATCCTTGCACTGAACATGCAATTCATATTGTTTTGACCTTGTCACTATTATTCAGAGGCACTTGCGTAAATTGCTTGCAACTTTTAGCAAATTATAAATATAATTTATTATTTGCAGACACCGCCGCAGGACACCAGTTACTAACTCTGGTGAGAGCAGCACTGAAGGCGATTCCAGCCACCAATCACAACGCAGTGTCGTTTACTTGCATGCTACTACTGGTAAGTAAAATATCTAGAATAAAAAGAACATTTAGGTAGGTATCAACGAAAACACTGGTTGAATATAATGATTTTCTATGCCTTCCTTCTTAATTTAATTTTGTGTTAGATTCCATAGAACCTTCGTCTTATATGTTGTTTGCATTCCAGTTGGTGACATACCAGACCCCGGTCGCATGACACGCAACCGCTCCCGTGATGACGTCTCCTCAGTCAACTCCTCCAACCTCCAAGTACGGACCACATCAAAGAGCTTCTCAATATTCGCGCCCTGGACACCTAAACATTACAACGACCAACACGACGTCCACTACGCACAGCGACCTCGCAAATCAAAGCCCAAAGAAATTGTGAAGAAGGCATCCTCAACGAAAACGCTGACAGAAGACAGGCCAGCGACGTTACAAAAAAATAAATCATACAGCCAAACCACATTGATTAGGCGACCACAGAACAGTCGGTTAACAAGCTCTAGCTCAACACTATACAAAAAATCTGATAAAAGAATCAAAGAAACAAACACCACACCACGGAAATCAGTAGCAAGAGATGGCAAAAAATCCCAATCAAGCGAACTATTAAACCGGGAAAGCGACAGGGAAAGGGTATCCCGATCAATATCTATGCCTAAAGATAATAACAAAAAGGCTGGATGGTTCAGGTTGTCAAGTAAAAATAAAAAGCCAGAAATCAATACTAGAGTTCGTTAAATAACTCATCGGTTCTTAGAACGCTGATCAATGCAAAAATAAACTAACATAAGAAGCTATCAAATCTTTAGTCTTGCGGTGTCATTGGTTGTATCCCATTTGCTTTGACCTTAGATGAAAATTGATCAGCCTTCTATAAACTATGGAACAAATATTATAATTCCAAAATCCGTCCACTAATGTTAGTAACAATAATCCGTCCATTTGTTAAGGGTAACCAACCATTAAGATATTATATTGACACAAGCACAGGTACCTATACGTACGGCATCTTTTTAATAATACAAGTGTGTGCCATAAACTGAAATGGTTTCATATCTACAATGAGAGTATCCTAGTTTGTCATGGCCCGATTCCATAATTTTGGTATAAACAAACTTGCGTTGTTTGACGGTGCTACAACCCTATTAACAACTATTATTATTGTATAGTGCCTCTTTAGTGGTGATTCAATAGTGCCATTGACCACTTATGTATTTTATATATCCAATAATGTTACCATTCTCTTATTTTTAGTCATTACGCAAAAATGCTTTTAATACTAATAAGATATTGAAAATATCTGTGCATAATATTTTAATTTAATTATCATTTAGTTTAAGTTTTCTTTTGGATTTGTTATTTTTAACGCTTTTTAAGTACAACTAATTTGATGTGTGTTGTGTTAAATTGAAATTAAAATAATGTCAGGAGCGATGCTTGGCGATTGTAATTAAGTTGATAATTTGATGAAAAAGCTAATGTAGCTTGATTGTAACTTGAATGATTTATAAATAAACGTCTAATTGTAACTTATATCATGTTTTATTGTAGTGTACCCAGTTATCATGTTCTCATCCGTTACCTTCCCTGAGCTACGTACGACCTAACCGGTTACCGGGGCTCCGCTTCGAAACAGAAGTAGGAACGGGATGGTTTCTAGTCAGTCAGAGTCTGACACTCCCTCTCGTCTCACCTAAGACGGGTGGAGTCGTAGGATGAATTTTCACTCCCTCAGAAAAAGCTATCATGCTATCCTCGATAATTCAGAAAATTAATTCTAATTTAGTTTCCACTAATTCCGCATGTCAGCTGCACTATTGAAAGTTTTTATACGTATTATAAAAATACATTAGATATTATTGCTTTCGCAGTACCAGGGCTTCATAACGTAATTACTTCATAGTGTATTGAAAAACGGGTAGACCCTAGACAGATGGAGATGTGATACAGCATAAGTGTCTACTAACAGAGTTGAAATTGAAATATTATTCTTGAATTACACAAAGGTGGTAACAAGAATAAAACAAAAGCTAATCGTATTTAATTTTATAATCACGTTATTAAACTTCATTTTTAAAGTTGTGCAATATTATCACTTTGTTAAAGTATTTTTAGTGACCAATCTTATTCAACTGTTTTTAATAAACATCAAACTTGCTATTTTTCTACTACAAGCGCCATCTATTGCGTAATAGCATAAGTTATTAAATGTTTCTTATTAGCGCTACTCGCCAAAAGATAGCACTATTCATGAATGTAATAAAATGTCATCATTTTATTTCATAAAATGAGTTATATTTTTAACAGTATTAACTACCTATAATTCTAATTAGATTAATTGAAATGTATATTATTAATATAAATATTTTATGGAGAAATTAATAAAACATATTACTTAATCGTTCTTGCCAGCACCAAAAATTCTAAATTCTGACTTGGTAAATATTCTGATAGCAAAATCTGGTTAAATTTATTGTTTGTTCATTCATATAATATGATTTTATATAAACTTATCTAAATCTTTATAAATCATATTAATTTCTTTGTGGTTTCGTTTCAACTTCCAACAAGAACACAAGTTGAAATGGGGATTGTCTAAAAAAATTGAGGAGTTGTTTTTATTTTATCTTCGTCTAAAATGAAGTATTTTAAGATACTAATTTGAGTATTTCTCCAAAACAGTGTAAAGTAAAATTTATAATCGACTTTAATACATTCTGTCCTTCTACGTCATCTTAGGACTTATCGTAGGTAATTCCTTTATTCATATTGGGAATCTTAAAAAAGTAAAACGTCAATGACAATCAAACGTCAATGTCAATTCCGGATTTCGTTTCGTACATAACCTATTCGTAATTTTGCTTATTTAAAATGGCTGGTTCTTCGAATACGATTATTTTAAATTCCGCTGACTTTATTAAGGCTGATTCTCGGAATCTGCCGAAAGTTGAAAATGTAATGATATTGGAGTTCATGGCTACCAATAGTAAGCACAATGTTAGTGAAATAAGAGGTGCTAAAATGCTGATGTAAGTATATTGTTATTTTTTATATCGACGTCTTATCTTTGTCATTCTATGTATTTTTCTAATATCTTATGATGAGTAGGTACTAAACGTTTTGTATTAGTAAGATGTAGCGTAGAAAATTACCTAAAAACTTTACGGGATTGTCTCCCGTACAGACTTGTATGTGCAACAGTGGAAACTGCTGCCTATCCTTAGATACTTTGCATAAAAGATCGATTATCTTAGTGCATTGTTATAAATTAAATTAATTATAAACCTAGTTTGACCCAACAGGTTGTAAAGTTTATTACATTGCAAAAATATTTTCAGGTCATCTCGGGTGTCTTATCTAAGTACTGCTGTTGGATATGTTCAAGTTAGTAGGACTGGGAGTAACTGTGTAGTAAAAGCAAGAATCGTACCCGAACATAGAATCAGCGATAAACTATACACAGTACTTTGCCAAATAGATGAAATGAATGATGTTATTGTAGACTCAGTATGTCAAGACTGTGCAGCGTCTGCGGGTAAGTGCCTTCTTTATATTTTGTAAATACAACAAGTAAAATTAAAATTATTGCATTACTTTCTTTCTTCAACCATAAGTTTATCTCTAAATCACTCATAATCAGTTTTCCAGTTATTATAATATATTAAACAGACTATAAGGCCGATATGGGGCAGTCCTGCTCTCAACTAAGTAGTTTTGTTGTTTGTAGCGATTGTGTCATGTAATTTTTTTGTATTTCATGGATGGAAAATAGCTAAGGCTAGTTTTATATACATAACACTTGTTTTTTCTGTACAGGTGGCTGCAAACATTCATTGTTACTACTTTTCTGGCTTGAAAAAAGAAGTTCAGAACCATCACCCACAGAAACTTGTTGTTACTGGAACAAGCCATCACTGTCAAGTGCTCGAACACAACACGTCACTAGTAAAGACATATTTGTGAAGGCGAAGAAGCCAAAGTTGGAAGTTAAAGATAGCTCCGTATTACAAGAATTTAAAGAGGAGTGTGCAAAAAGACAAGTCAAAAATTCTTTAATTATTAATTATAGTGAGTTACATGAATTTAACTCCAAAAATATATTTGATATGATGTCAGGGTTTCTTGAAGCATACACCATCCATAGCTTCTGTAACTTCCAACAATATTTAAAATCCAAGATTACTATAGATACTATTGAGGAAATTAATATTAAAACAATGGGTCAAGCAGACAGTAAATACTGGCACAGTATAAGACAAGGAAGATTGACAGCTTCAAAATTGTATGAGGCTGCACATTGTAATACTGATGGGTCATTGGTCCAGCAAATATTAGGGGGCTACAAAATACCTGAAACCAAGCCATTCAACGGGAAAATTGGAAGAAAGAGTGCTAAGAGTAGTAGAACAAAAGTTAAACATTAAATTTAGAAAATCAGGATTTGTATTAATTAATGGAATATTGGGAGCATCACCTGATGGTGTGGCTGATGACTTTGTCATAGAAATAAAATGCCCTTTTACAAAATCGGTCCGGAACTATGTAAAGGATGACATTATAAATGATAAGTATAGAACACAAATACATTGCCAAATGCTCGCATGTGGAAAAAACAGGGGAGTATTTTGTGTTGCAGATCCAAAATTTGAGACCACAAAGAATGTGCATCTAATATGGGAAGACTTGGATAAAAACTTTATTATGGGTATAATAAATAAAGCGGAAAATTTTTGGAAAGATTACATTTTTCCGAAATTAATGTCAAGTGCAAAATAAATAAACATGTGTTATTTTTAATAAGTCTTTATTATTTCTCCTTGTAAATTTATTAACCCACAAGATATAATAACAATTTCGTCTAAATAGGGAACATATTTGTAGTTAACAACTGAGTGTGGTTTCAGCATAGCAAACTCTCTTACACGTCTTATAACCCTTTCTACGTGGATCCTCAAACTAGCTATAACTTTGCTCTGTAACGTTTCTGTTACAGTCTGCTTCATTCCAGAATAAACTGTTGGTGGTCTAAGGAGTGTTACATGTTTCAGTGCTAGCAACGACTCTATTTCTTTGAAACCTCTGTCAGCCAATACTACACTGTTTGGTTGAACAATATCTAAAAAATTACTTTTTTCAACAAGAGCTTTATCAGATATTCTTCCCCCATAACCTTCAGATATAAAACTTATTAATCCATCTGGAGTGCAACCTATTAAATATTTAACAGTATTGCAGTTTTTATACTGTGACCATGTTTGTGCTTGCTTTATTGGGTCTGATGGCTTAGCAATCTGTATTTCAAAACAGTCTATAATAATTTGCACATTAGAGTATCTTATTTTAAATACCAAAGGTAAATTCTGTTTTATTAGTTTTGGCTGTGGATTATAAACAAGATTTTGAAAAAAATTCGCCAGTACTTCAATACCTAGGAGAATCATGCTAGACAATTTTGTTCGTGATAATTCAAATAGGTCACTTATTTTTTCAATAGAATCATTTTGTTTTATTTTAAACAATGTGACTATAATACAAAGCGAATCTACTTTTGTGGTACTTTTACTGACCAGATAATCTATAAACCACAAATATTGTAGAGGTAATCCTAAATACATCTTGGGTTTTTTAAAAATAATTTCTAAAACATTATTTCTCATTTGCATCTTAGGTTTAGGCTTTTCTGATGTGGTTTTTCAGTTTCTGATGTATAACCAAACAGGGAGGGAGTTGTTGCTGAAGAAAATTCCTGTGAAGAATGTACTTCAAATGAAGTTGCCCCCTGAGGCCCCTTTCGTTTTCTAGGTCTTAAGTTTGTGCTTGAATCCACCATTTTCACTTTACACTGCGTTGCTACATGTACCTGTTTAAATAAAATAATGTTTACTAAAATTGTTTGCATGAGGTCATAAATTAATAGTTGTGCAATAGGTACACAGCCTTACATGGTTCTTTAAAAAAATATATATTTGCATATGTAGTTTGAATAATCTACATCTTCTACAGTATAAAGAGGAAACATTTGATTTTCAGTTTGTTTATTTGTTTGTTAGAATTCAATCTCCTCCGTAACTACCAGGCCGTTTTGAAAAATTCTTTTACCGTTGGAATCCTACATTATTGATGATGAACATAAGCTATATTTAATAAAATAAAATAAATGGGAAATAGTGTGAAAATTTCGAAAATGTAACCCAATGTCTGAAAATACTACCAAAAAACTCCTTATATTGTAAGCAATATAAGGAGTTTTTTGGTAGTAAGCCTTTGGTTACCAATAAAAAACTGTTTTCAAGGGCTCATAATAGTATTTAACTGCAATATGAATTAAATTTACTGAATACATTTTATTCATGGACTAGTTTCTGCCCACGATTTCACTTGCTTGTTTCATTGGGTTTAGCATTAGTAGTAAGTGTATTATATACATATTACCTTCCTTTGCATTAAGCAGTTGGGTAAAAATAGAAAGCTTAAAATATAATAGGTAGGTAGGTACCTTAATTGGTAGTGTAGTAGCAGAACTTGTACTGGGCATGACATTATCAAGTTTTCTTATTTTCCGTGAAGATGGGCCTGGTTGGACCATTGATAACATTTTCAATAGTTCGGGACTGTCTTGTGACGTAGTTGGAATCTAAAAATGGTAAACAAAAATAATTAAAAGTACTTACAGTAAGATATGTTTATATAGTTGAAAAATAATAGTTACGAGATTGTACGCACCTCCTGTTCCTGTGGAAAGGCGGCAACATTCTTCAATACAGCCGTAGGCTTTAAAATAGGCTCTTGATTCATTAATTTGTACTTGAAATAGTTTTTCAAATCTGCTACTGGCTGCAAGTGATAGGAAATGTTAAGTATTTAGCACAATCACGCGAATGCTTTATCTGTTATTTACTTATGTTATTTTAATTGTTAAAATCATATATGTCATAAATATACTCACATCAAAGTGATCTTCACAGCAATACAATAATTGTACGTTGAAATATTCCGCATTTGCTTCCATACACCACTTCTTTCGTAAGTCTTCTCTGATACGAACAAAGATTTTGTCAGGGCTATTTATGGAATCATTCTTACAAGTAGGAACAAAGCATTTTCTATGTGCCATGACAATGAATAAGTTGTTTATAATATTATGTTAAATGTTTACGTTGGTTTCGGTTTGAATTGAATCTCAAAGTAAGGTTATGTATTTGACATGACAGTTGACGCTTCGCAGATGTCAAATCTCTTCTTCATATAGATTGCGTATTAGCAGGCAAAGGCAGTCCTCTATACCGCCTTAAAATGACGTCATTCAATGTCAAATAAAGGTCATTCATATTTCTTTAAAAATATCAGTAATGGTACCGAATTTCAGGGTGTCGTATAGATAAAACTATTAATAAACCTTATTCCCCGAAATGGTTTTTCAATAAGTCCGAATAAAAAAAAATAGACAATCCCCATTGACGTGTCCATTACGTTTGACATTAGAAAATCTTGTATGTCAACGTCATGCCTGATTGGAAGGAAGACGAATTTTATCATTTTGATTTTAATTTCTTCTACTCACAATTTTCACTGTATTTCTGAAAGTACTCTTACTTCAAAATACTAGTCTTTAACTATCCTAACCATGGCACGCCGATATAGAGACGCCGCTGCAAAAATGCAGCAAAACGTTCAAAAACATCTAAAAGAAATGAAGGAACTGTCGTCGTCTGAAGATGAGGAGCCTTGCGAGTCCAGCGTCCTGGAAGGTGTGTTCCAGAGCTACTGGCGAGGCGGAGGAGACACTCAAATGCTTAACAGGACTAAAAATCTATTAGAAGAAGCCATCAGCGGCCGCTCCGTAACGTGTCTCATATGCATAGGGTCGATAAAGAAAAGTCACGCTATTTGGACTTGTGACCACTGCTTTTCCTACTTCCACCTCTCTTGTATACAGAAATGGTCCAACGATAGCATTAGTTTACGTAGCGAAGAAAGTACCGGCCCAATAGCTGTAATAAAACAACAGAAAATCGAATGGTGCTGCCCAAAGTGCCGGCATTCGTATTCCAAGGAAGAAATACCTCGCAAATATCGCTGTTTTTGTGGTAAAACAGACAACCCACCCCTTCATCCTTGGCTCATCCCACATACATGTGGAGAGGTTTGTGAGAAGAGATTGTCAACTGGTGACAATTGTAAACATAAGTGCTTACTGCTATGTCACCCTGGTCCTTGCCCCCCGTGTCCACAAACTGTCAATGGTATATGTTACTGTGAAAAAGAGAGAAAGAGAGTGAGATGCAGCGCAGCCAAGTGGTCTTGTGGCCAGCTTTGTAAGAGAACTCTTTTATGTAAAACTCATAAGTGTGAAAATGTATGTCATGTTGGAGATTGTCCTGATTGTACTTACACTAGTATTCAGCCATGTCAATGTGGTAGTGAGAAGTCAAAGAGACCGTGCAATGATCCATTCTGGCAGTGCAAGAAGCCTTGTAATAAGTCTTTTTCATGTGGTTATCATAAATGTGAGAGAATCTGCCATGCTGGGGAATGTGGTGACTGTCCCAACTCTGGTATGACAACATGTCCTTGCGGTGCCAACCAGCGGTTCCTAAAATGTCCTGATGTCATGGAAACCTGCTTAGGTACTTGTGGTAAGAAGCATGTAGATTGTGAACACACTTGTCCTGAGAAATGTCATAATGGAAATTGCCCACCTTGTCAAGTTTTGGTAGCCAAAAAATGTCATTGCTCCACACATACAAGGCCACTGCCTTGCAGCAAAGACTATAAATGTGAGTCTAAATGTAGAGGGATAAGGTCATGTGGCAAGCATGGCTGTGGAAGGAAGTGCTGCAATGGAAACTGTCCTCCATGTGAGAAACCATGTGACAAGGGACTACAATGTGGCAGACATAAATGCACCAACATTTGTCACCGAGGACCATGCTACCCATGCCCTTTAGAATCTAAAGTAACATGCAGATGTAAGGAAACTTTTGTACGTGTTCCATGTGGACGAGAACGCCAGACTAAACCGCCCAAGTGTAACTTGCCTTGTAAAATTAAATACAAATGTGGTCATACTGAGGAAAATAAGCATACATGTCATTTCGGTGAGTGTCCTCCATGCAAAGCTATTTGTGACAAGCAATATCCTAAGTGTGGACATAGCTGTAAAGCTGTATGCCATGAATATGTTGCTGTGGTGTTCAAGCAGGTTGAGAAACCTGCCACTCCATGGGAGGTGCAGCCACCTAAAACCAAAATTATGACCTTGGAGTGTCCTCCATGTGAAACACCAGTTTCAATAGTTTGTTTTGGGGAGCATGAGACAGATGATCAGCCCTGTCACACAGCTACTCGTAGACCTTGTGGAAGAGATTGTGGGAAACCACTGGCTTGTGGAAACCACAACTGCACTATGATGTGTCACCTGTACAGTCCCCTGCCTGAGTATCCAAATGTGCCTTCTAGTTGCAAGCAATGCAACAGAGAATGTTCAGTTCCTCGTCCAGTGAAATGTGCTCATAAGTGTCCTATTCGTGCCTGTCACCCAGGCCCGTGCCGTCCATGTGAGATACTAGAAAGATTGGCTTGTCATTGTGGCCTAACAGAGATCTACTTACGTTGTCGGGAGCTTTCAACTGCTACAGAAGAAATGCTGTCATGCAAGCAGCAATGTCCAAAGAACTTGGAATGTGGCCATCGCTGCCGTAACACATGTCATTCAGGAGCTTGTGGCAATCAAGTATGCACAAAGAAGACTAAAGTGTACTGTCCATGTGGTAATATTAAGAAGGAAGCTCCGTGCACTTCTGTCAGAAGTGGAGAAACAAAGATATTGTGTGACGCAACCTGTGAGGCTAAGAAAGCAGCAGCGAAACTGGAACAGGAGAAAGAAAAACAGAGGTTGAGGGAGTTAGAAGAAGAAAAGAATAGAAAAGAACTAGCAGAGTATGAGTGGAAGTTGAGCGGTAAAAAGAAGAAGTATAAGGAAAAGAAAATGGTTGTGGACAAAGATGATAGAAGTTTTTTGAGAAAGTATTGGGTACCATTGTCATCATTCCTGGTTTTTATAGTAGCAGCTATTTATTACATATTGTATATTTAGTTTAGATAAAAAGACTTGTCAATTATTCCAACGTAAATACTATTAAGTAGATAATTATAGTAAGAATGAAAGTTAGGCATCGCTAGAATTTTGCTCACCAAATTTTATGATTACGGTAACTTAGTTGTAGAAAGGTGGACTTTTTACTTAAAATAATTATGGTATAACTTTTTAAATTGATTGGTTTTTTTGTGGGATATGAGAAGGCTAGGAACACTCCGGATTCCCATTTGATTCGTCATTCACATTCAACACCAGTGGAATTAAAAGTGTGTTGCCTGCCTTTTAAGAAAAATGGAGAGATTTTTTTTCTTATATCCATTGGTATAGGCAGATTTGCATCTAATAAGATGTTTATTATTTTCTGACATTTAAGTTACTGTATGTTTTGTAATTTGATTTGTAATTTAGATTGTACTGCCTCAGACTTCCTCGTTGGCCGAGTAGTCATAAGTGCGACTGCCGGGCAATGGGTCTCGGGTTCAATTCCCGAGTCGGGCAAAGTATTACTGGGTTTTTAAAATATTCTCAATAGTAGCAGGGAGTCTGGAATTGTGCCCGGTATATGGCAATAGGCTCACCCCCTATTACATGGGACTCATAACATAAATAGTGAAAAGTGGGTGTTACATTGTACAGAGGTATAATGTACACCTCTGCCTACCCCTTCGGCGATAAAAGGCGTGATGTTATGTTATTTAGATTGTATCTTGCACTCAACTTGTGAACTCACTACTATATTAATTTTTAATTAAAAGACTACTTATTACAATGTTATGTTATGTGTGTGTCATTGTGTTATTGTTTGTTATTAATTATTATAAATATTAAATTATAATGTATGTTGTATTATTTATTTGACTAGTATCACACTTCAAATTGCTTAATTTTTTATTGTTTTATGGGATAAGCCGATAAACGAGCAGACTTTACACGTTCACCTCATGGTAAGCAATCGGCGTCGCCCTTGGACACCTGGAACCCAGAGGCGTTTCAAGTGCGTTACCGGCCTTTTGGGGATTAGGAGTTTGAGGATCGTTGATCCTGAGGCCTCCGGTAACCTCACTCACACGACGAAACACAATGCATGCGTTGCTTCACGTCGGTTTTCTGTGAGGCCGTGGTATCACGCCGATTGCTTACTCTGATGATCCGTCTGCTCGTTTACCGGCTTATGCTATTATAAAAAATCGAGCCTGACATCCCTTGCTCAACAATTGTTCGTATGACCACTGGAAGAGCGAAGCAGTACCTACCTATCTATATAGTTTCGTATTAGATATTGATTATAAATAAGTACTTGTTCGTTGTTACATAGGTACATAACTTCACGCCTGTCTCCCATGGGGGTAGGCAGAGACTGGAACGCCAATTACTACGATTCCTACATACCTCTTTCGCTTCATCAACAGTCATCAATCTTTTCATGCATCCTCGTCGGTTAAGGGCACTTTTAATTTGTTCGTTGTTATTATATGTTTGTACGTTAATTTTTTTTAAGGGTTTTTAAGGAGAATCATCGAATGACTGCTGCTGCCTGAGTGAGGCGGGAGGGAGTGTCAGACTCTTACTAACTAAAACCACCCCGTTCCTTCTGCACGTCGAGCCGGAGCCCCGGTAACCCGTTAGGTTCTCCGCGATAGTTATGTTAAATAAGGTAAACCAAAACTAACGAATCAATACATTTCCTTCTAATAAGTTTTATTTCAAAAACATTAACGAACATAATTTTAAAGGTTGAGTTGCAACAGCACCACTACATAGCCAGTGAGAAGTCCGATAACAGATATTGGTAGTTTTGCATCTACGTACATCAGGCCGTAAATAGATATCTTATTAAAGTTACGACTTTTCCATAGTACTTTCTTGTAAAGTTGTGCTTGTTCACCTGAAAAATAAACTTTAGTGAATTTCGAGGATAGTGCCATCTGTCTTAAGAAATACAAACTCAGGAAACTGCTACAATGCTGTCAGAGATGGCGCTATGAATAAAAGTACAATAATGTACTCAATTCAAATTACCATTTATTATTTTGATTGTGTTTCAATAATATTTTTCTACTTATCATTTAATCACTTACTTGGGCAATTCTTATTCTTCATAAGCTGTATGCAGGCCATTTTAGCTTCTTCAATAGTAATATAAAACTTCTCGCACTGAATACTATGACAAATTACTAGAACAATATCCTTAGCAATCCACAGGCTCGTTGATAAATCAATGACGGGGTACTTGAAAATATTAAGTTGCTAAAAAAAGTAAACATTGCTTTAATTTTAATGTGGAAGAGCTATAATTTGGTACGAATAGGCTGGATCCACCAGACACCGCTATGTTATGTTTCGCTGTGTAAGTGAGATTTCCGGAGCCCCAATCCCCCTTTCGGAAAGCCGGCAATGCACTTTTAAGTAACTCCTCTGGTATTCACCCGAAATTAGCAGAGCTGATTCCTTACCATCACTGCTCGTTTATTGCCATTTTTCATTAAAAAACCTAATTTGAGTAGGATAACTTTAAGTGATATTGAATGCTACTTACCTCTGTTTGTGATTCAGAAGCTTTTTTAAGCAATAATAATATTTTCCACACATAAAACAAATTGCGCTTTAACACCATGATCGTGATGTACAGTATCTGAAAAATAAATTAAAAATGGCGGTTCAGAGATAACCAGAGGTGGACTAAACCCAGACATCACCCTGGGCACGCAGCTTATAGGCGCCCCTAATTTTTTTTGTCATCGTCACTTCTTTATGCGCAGTTGGACGTCACACGGTGCTCTTTTGTAATGTGGTGCCTTAGGCACTCGCCTAGTTTTCTTTAGAGATAATACGGCTCTGGGCATAATACCTAGTGATGAACATTCTAGGATTAGTACCTACTTACTATTTTTTTTAGATTTATGTCAATGCGACTGACTAATTACAATATAATATTAATCTATACATGTGAATGCCCTACTATTGCGAGAAATTCAAGGGAATATAGGAATAGATAGAATCATTATTTCAGAAGTTATTAACATTGAATGCGACGTTACATACCAGTCCTTGAAAGATGGTCCTGTACAACCTGTAAGTCTCCAAAATATTTTGATAAGTCTTCAATAAATTAGTATAATTTACTTCATTTTCTCGCTCGTTTAAATTAATTATTATGTTCACCCATCCATTGAGTAATTTTGTTAGCAAAGTTATGATAAAAATTGCATAAACATAATTAATATCAAATGTTATAAGGAAAAAGTTACGAATTAAAATAGGCAAATCAAATAACTCAGCTTTTATTGCTATAAAATATGCTACGAAAATAAAAATGTTTACTCCAACAATAGTAACTGATGATATCCAATTCCTTACCGTTAAACTATTAACATTATCTTTTATATCGATGTTTTCACTAAGTCTTTGTATCAATACAACTAAAGAGACGTTACTAAGACGGTGAATGATATTTGTGACGAAAATCATAACAATACCAAAACAGTAAAAAACATTTACTAAAAACACAATAATTTTAATTATAATGTCGTTCCCGTGAAGATTAATGTAAGTATCATTGTTCTTACTGAAGAACATGGCATAAATTGTGACTATAATAACGTAACAGACACCTAAGAAAGCTGCAATTATTCGATTTATTCCGCTAGGACAAACAAAGTCATCTTTTAATGAAAATTTTTGAGAGAACATTAGTACTAAAAGGTAGTGGAATGGATGTAACATTTGTAAACTTTTCCTTTTTATTTGATGATCTGCTTTTAACCCCGATCTTCTTCTATGCGTTCTATTGTTTTGGAATATTGAACATTTTTTGTAACGCATTTTATAATGGTATTTGTCAAGGAAGACAATCCACTTTATTTTCTCACGCGGAGACTTCTTGAGTATTTTCTATTTTCACAATTCTAAACACGTCTCGAGGTAACAATTAATAATTATTTTTAAATATGTTACTAAGAACTACCATTCGTAATATAGATATATCTATCTAGATGCCTGTAGTATGTATCGATAATCGAGCTTATACCTAATGAATAATTGATATGACGAAAGTTTAATGAATGAGTACTGAAAATCGATTACGATTATAATATACTAGCTGCTCTCGCGCGGTTTCTTCCGCTCTGATCGACTCCTGTAGATAGTATAAATGGACTATCCAACACAAAAATAATTATTCAATTCGGACCAATTGATTTCGGAGATTAGCGCGTTCAAACAAACAAACATATTCTTCAGCTGGATACAATAATAAAAAGTACCTTATACTTACTGTATAAGGTACCTACCTATACTTAGTTGTAAGATACCTAAATAATGAAGACAGAACTTTTACACAGGGTGACTTAATTATACATTTCATCTCTATAATTATATGTCGTGTGTTGGTGGTAAATTAGAAGGATTTTTTAAGGGGGAAAATCGTCGAATCACTTCTCCCGCTTGCGTGAGGCGGGAGGGAGTGTTGGACTCTTACTGACTAAAAACCATCTCGTTCCTACTCCTGCGCTTCGTGCCGGAGCCCTGGTAACCAGTTAAGTCTTGCGGCTCCGTATCGGCATCAGCCCTATTGGGCCCCACCCGTGAATTAGGAAGGATAGGAGTACATAAATTTCAACTTCCGTTACCATTTTCCCTTGGTTTAAAACAAATGTTAATTTGTGTCAGTTAATCCTTGTTAATTGCAAATAAAATATTCACAATATAAAGCATTATTTATCTATTGTCGAAATAAAACCCCTTAAATTTTGTCTACAAATTCACAGGAAAGCAAATTGTAACATCGCACAAATATAGCCTGCTAGAAATCCAATCACAGTTATTGTCGACTGAGCGTCGACGTAGAAAATACTACACGCAGATATTTTACTATATATACGATTAGTTCGCATGACCTTCTTGTATAAACACTTTTGATAATCTGTAAGAAGAAAATAATTACATATTAATAAATGACAAAAAATATTTAGCATAGCGACATCTACCTTGTGTAATTAGTACTATAATTTTGGTATTAGGTAACTGAATGGTTACGAAGTTCCTTGAACACTCATTTTAATAAATATTTTGCAACAATATTTACGAATTATGTCACATAACATAATGATATCATAATACGTATCTTGTAATAGGCTTTAGGGGTCGCAAAACAGCTGTATCCTTAAACCTAAACTATTGTCATACAAAATCATAAATCGATACTTATTTCTTTTAATTTTCAAAAAATACCTACGTGGACAATTTTTGGTCTTCATGAGCTGCATACATGCCAACTTGGCTTCTTCGTTGGCGATATAGAACTTCTCACATTCCACACATTGTGTAATAAATAGTGCAATGTCTTTAACAACCCATGTAAATAATGCCACACTCGCAATAGGGTACTTATATACAATTAGATTCTGAAAAATGTACGTAATATTATTTATTTCCATATTCCTCATTATCACCATAAGCGGGAATATCAACTACTGCCGAACAATGGCCTGCCCTAAGTCCATATTCCGTAACTTAAAAAGAACTATAGTAATTATATCTCAGGTTAATCTTTCGCCTTGAATTGTCAAATAACTGCACTGGGGGATAAATTGGTAGTAAGACATAATTATAAGACATTTTTTGATAGTTTTACTTGCAAAAGTGACTTTATGGTTACCTACCAGCTCTTCCGATGGATTGGGCATGTTTGCGTACACTAACATACTACCCAAAAAACATATATTACGAAATATAACATTGCCTGCAGCATAGAGCATCTGCAATTGAAATAACAATTTATATTCAATAAGATCATCTCCAGTATTTGTGTTTGACCCACATTAGTCGAGTGCCTCGTCAAATAGTTACGTGATTAAGCCGAAAATCATAATAATTCACATTACACTACTTAAAGACTTACCAATACTTGAAACACATTTTTGTACAACCGATACCCTTCCAAAATATTTTTGTAAATTGCGAGAGCGTCGCTACATTCGTGTTCTTCGAAACTTAATATTTTTATTGTCCAAGCACTGAGATAATTTTTTAACAGAACTATCAATTGGATAGCGTAAACACAATTGAGATCGAAACTGGTGAAAATTATATTACGGATTAATACCAACCAATTTATAATATGAATTTTTCGGTCTATCATACACAACATCACATGATACGTCGTAAACATAAAGACATTTAGACAGAAAATAAAAACACTAAGTATCCAGTTCCAAGTAGCAAAACTAGAGATATAACTAGAATCCATTTTTTTATGTATTTGTTGGATTTTCACAATTAGAAGGACATTTTTTCGGCTAGTGACGACGTTTAGGATAAAAATCATTATAAAACCGATAAGTAAGAGTGAGTTTACGAGTAAATTGATAATATAAACGGCGAGGCCCCGTTCACGACCTGTGATCATGCTAAGCAAATCATGAATAAGCAAACTGTAAAAAGTAATTGTAGTGACGAAACACAAGCTCAAAAACGATACAATAGTTTGTTTCTTTCCAATCGTAGTAATGTAGTTATCTTTTATTGTATATTTTGAGGACAGCAATAGAAGGTGTAGTAAGTCAATTGGATATAATATTCTTTGTATTTCTTTGTCCAGCTCATAAAGTTTCTTTTGTTATTTTTTATTCGTTGTATGAGTAGACTGTTAAACGCCATCATTGTCTAGTTAACGTCTTAATATCATTGTTAAATGTGGAACTCTGAATACATTTATGTACAAGTGTACAGCACAATTGTACTAGCTAGTATATGTAGATAATAATTCATATTAAATACAGTATGGAAGATGTAACTTTTACATGTATTATTAGTATCAATAATAATAAGGAAAAGTGTAATAATGGTAAGTAACAGTTGTGTCATGGCCTTTTAAAGAGCTCAATTTAGGTCGATACTTATATTATTATTATTTAATGGAAATTAAAAGCAGACAAAATATTATTGCGACTGTTACTCTAGAAGAAAACAAATTACTTGTTCCATCTGTAGCATTTCAATTTAGTTTACTGTTTCTAGAGTAAAGAAGAAAGTCACATAATGAAATATACAAATTAGAATTTCGTGTATTTTTATACCTACGAAAAATACAGTTTTCATATGTTAATTACATAGTCAAATGAAATATGTACAATTTTAAAGCATATAATTGTCTATTGGTGACATAAAAACCCTTAAATTTTGTCTACAAATTCACAAGAAAGCAAATTGTAACATCACACAAATGTAGCCTGCTAGAAATCCAATCACAGTTATTGTCGACTGAGCGTCGACGTAGAAAAAACCACACGCAGATATTTTACTATATATACGATTAGTTCGCATGACCTTCTTGTATAAACGTTTTTGATAATCTGTAAGAAAAAAATCATTTATTAATAAATTACAAAAATAAGGTTAAGCGACATCTACCTTGTGAAATTAAAACTATAATTTTAGTATTAAATAAATGAATGGTTACAAAGTTCCTAGAACACGTATTCTAATCGGTAATTTGCAACAACACCTACTACTATTATATCACATAACATAAAAATAACATCATACGTATCTTATAACAGGTAGGCTTTAGGGTTAGCAAAACAGGTATCTTTACTGGGGAACAATTGTCATACAAAATCATAAATCGATACTTCTTTTTTTTTAATTTGCAAAAAATACCTACGTGGACAATTTTTGTTCTTCATGAGCTGCATACATGCCAACTTGGCTTCTTCGTTGGCGATATAGAACTTCTCACATTCCACACATTGTGTAATAAATAGTGCAATGTCTTTAACAACCCATGTAAATAATGCCACATTCACAATAGGGTACTTACATACAATTAGGTTCTGAAAAAGACACAAAATAATATTTATTTCCACATTCGTCACTATCACCATAAGCCGGAATATCAACTACTGCAATCAACTGAACAATGACCTCCCCATAGTCCATATTCCGTAACTTAAAATATCTCAGGTTAATCTCCGCCTTGAATTGTCAAATAAATGCACAATTGATGAATGAATTGACAATGATAAATTAGCGGTAAGACATATTATAAGATTTTTTTTGTAGTTTTATTTGCAAAAGTGAATTTATGGTTACCTACCAGCTCTTCCGATGCATTGGGCATGTTTGCGTACACTAACATAACACCCAAAAAACATATATTACGAAATATAACATTGCCTGCAGCATAGAGCATCTGCAATTGAAATAACAATTTATATTCAATAAGATCATCTCCAGTATTTGTGTTTGACCAACATTAGTCGAGCGAGTGCCCCGTCAAATAGTTACACGAGTAAGCCGAAAATCATAATAATTCACATTGGTGTCAGAGGATCCACACCACAGGGCTTTGTGTGTCTCGGCGGATTTTGTTCACCTACCTCAGCTACCCAGCTGTCCTAGAGTAAGTAATTTATATCATCAAGCTGATTATATAGCCATAAATCAGGAAATGAACAAAGTTAATTGGAATATGGAGTTGAACTGCAGATCCCTTGAGAGCGCTGTTGACTTCTTCTATGATACTATTAAACAACTACATGTAGATTATGTTCCTACTAAAATAATAACGCCGCGTAGTAAGTATCCCCCCTGGTTCAAAAGTCCCCTTGTAAAGATCTTAAAAGAAAAAACAAAATACCATTCCAAATATAAAAAATATGGTAATCTAAGCGATTTCCAGTCCTTTACTATGTTGCGTAAAAGGGCCAAAGACTTGGAAAGGGAAATGTATGTTGATTACATCACAAATATTGAATCAGCAATTTTGAAGAATCCAAAGTCATTTTGGACTTATGTTAAGAGCAAACGGCAAACTAATTCTTATCCCTCCACATTTAAGTATGGCGAAATTAAATCCAACAATGGAGAGGACATTTGTAATATGTTCAGCAACTTTTTTTATTCTAACTTTCAGGAATCACCTCTTTCATCTGGCTCGGACCGTGTACCCTCCACACACCATAAGCCCTCAACAGCAGATATCTGCTCCGTTGAGATAGTCGAAGAGCATGTATTTCGATTACTTAAGCACGTGGATGTAAACAAGTCGGCGGGGCCAGATAACATTGCGCCAATCTTATATCTAAATGTGCTAAAAGTTTGACTGTCCCGTTGACAATACTATATCGGAAGTCTATGGCTGCTGGAGTAATGCCAACTGTATGGAAGTCGGCGTATATAACGCCTGTTCATAAAAAAGGACCTAAAAACGTTATAGAAAACTACAGACCAATATCCAAATTGTGTATATTTGCCAAAATTTTAGAAAAACTAGTACGTACACAGCTATCTTCTACTCTTAAACATTCCTTCTTGGAGCAACAACATGGATTCATTAAGGGCCGTTCCACTACATCTAATCTTGTTGTCTGTAGTGATTATTTGTCTGAACATATGTCAATGAGGTCCCAGGTGGACGTTATATACACCGACTACAGCAAATGCTTCGATCGAATAGATCATCTTCAGCTATTGATAAGCTGGCTTGTATAGGTATCAGGTGACTTGTACAGATGGTTTGCATCCTATGTGGAGGGTAGATGTCAGATAGTGGTTCTTAACGGATACTCATCAAGATCTGTCCGTGTCCCTTCCGGAGTGCCTCAAGGGTCTCTTCTGGGACCCCTATTGTTCAATATTTTTGTGAATGACATTGATGCATGTTTTCAAAATTCTAAGATTCTACTTTATGCAGATGATATGAAGATACTGAGACCGATAATGACAGAATTGGATGCAATATCTCTGCAGAAGGATCTTGATAACTTTCAGGAGTACTGTGTCGTCAACAAACTGGACCTAAATGTTTCCAAATGTTTCGTATGCACTTTCACACGCAAACCGAGGCCTGTCCTTTATGACTATAAACTCTCAGGGTGCACAATATCCAGAGTTAACAACATTAGGGACCTTGGTGTGATTTTTGACTCAAAGCTAATTTTTGATACCCATATGATAAAATAGTGAATGAGGCATCTAAGGCTTTGGGTTTCATCTTCAGAGTCTCTTCTGAATTTCGTAATATAAAAACATTAAAAATTTTATACTGTGCGTTCGTCCGCAGTCACCTGGAATACGCCTCGCAGATTTGGAATCCTAACTACGCCATATATGTAGATCGTGTCGAGAGTATTCAGAGGAGATTTCTTAGGTACATCCAGTTTCGCTCTAAAACTTACATAAATAACTATATAGATCGTTGCAAGCAGTTTCACACCCTTCCATTATGTGAGCGCCGTAAAATTGCAGATTTATCATTCCTGTTCAATATAGTAAATGGCTCATTAGATGTACCGGAGTTGGTGGACAGAATAGGGTTGCGTGTGCCTTCTGCTTTTCTGCGCAAACCTGTACTTCTTAACGTCCCGTCTACCAACACTGTTTATAGACAAAATTCATACATGATAAGAGCGTGTCGGACATACGATTCAGAGTGCCGGAGGATTGATTTAGATTTATTTCACACTAGCGTACGTAGATTAAAGAAATTAATGTCTTCAAGTTTCTTTCAAACATAATATCTTATTTCTTTTTGTTTTTCTGAACAGTTTTTTTTTTGTTTCGTCATTTGCTGTCTTTTTAAACTAGTAATTTAATTACCTATAAGCGGAAACTTGTTATTGGCCGTTTATCTATAATTTAATCTATCCTTATGTTATACCTAGCTGTAAGTTTTCCTAAAATT